CTTTCAAAATTCTTTTTTTTTTTTAAATGTGTATTTACTTATTTATTTTGAGAGAGAGAGATGGAGAGGGGCAGAGAGAGAGAGAGGGAGAGAATCCCAATCAGGCTCCACACTGTCAGCACAGAGCCCAATACAGGGCTCAAACCCATGAACCATGAGATCATGAACTAAGCCAAAACAAAGAGTCAGAAGCTTAACTGAGCCACCCAGGCGCCCCTTAAAATTCTTCTGGAAGAGTTTCTGGAGGGTTTACAATTGACCTCACATAAGTAGTCTTTTCCATGATAATAGTTTCCTAGGGCTGCTGTAAGAAATTGGGACATAAAATAACAGAAATTTATTCTTTCATAGTTCTGGAAGCAAGAAATCTGAAATCAAGGGGCTGTCAGGGCCATATTCCCTCTGGAGGCTCCAGAGGAGATTCTTGCCTTGCCCCTTCCAGCTTCTAGTGGCTGCTGGCATTCCTTGACTTGAGGCCACATCATTCATTTCTGCCTCTGTGGTCACACTGTCTTCTCTGTGTCTGTTTTCTTCTTTTCTCTGTCTCTTCTACAGATGCTTGTCATTGGATTTAGGGCCCACGTGGATAACCTAGGATGATCTCATCTCAAGATGCTTAATGACATCTGCAAAGACCTTTTCTTCAAATAAAGTCATAAGCATAGATTCTGGGGATTAGGACTTGGACATACTGTTTTCAGGGCCATCACTTGACCCACTACATCATCCTAGTTCTATGTCTCTCTCCCTATACAGTACTTTTTTATCATGGCCCTGTCCCCTTTTTCCTTCTACCTCTTTATCTTTGATTCAATAATTTGAGTACCTATAGACAAGTGTGCCTGTCCAGGGAGGAGGATTTTGGGTCCAGAAATTGGAACTGCATTATCAGGAGCACATCAAGAAGCAAATCACCTTGGGCGAGCAGCCTGGTAAATGCTGCCAATGGGAACATGAGCGCAATTAGCTCAGCAACAGAAATACAAAAATTAGAAGGCAAATGGCCGAAAGTATCTAAAAAGTATGTATGTACCTAGGTATGAATAGATGTATAAATAGACAAATAGGGTTTCTCCTGTATGTCTTTAATTCTTAGTAAGGTTATAGAAATAGACAGTAAAATAAGAGTACATGTTGTTATGAAGTAGATGAAATAAATCCATTTACATTCTGATTTCTCTCACTTTTCTTTGAAACTCCTACTAAAGTTTTAACATTTGTTTTAAAGCTAGATATTAAAGAAGAAATCGAAGATGAAGAAAAGACAATTGAAGATTATATTGATACGAAGATGAATGACATTGATCCCATTTCCATTGAAACCATGTATTCTGTTGCCAGTCAATGCTTGCATGAAAAGAAAAATAAGAGACCAGATATTAAGAAGGTACTGGTTTTTTATATTTATTGAAAAAGTGAAGAAGGTAGGGTTCATCTTTTTTTTTCCTAAGTGTACATTTCAAACCAACCCTTTAATGCATTTTTTTTGTTGTTTTTTTCTGTCTTTATGAAAGGTTCAACAGCTGCTGCAAGAAATGACAGTTTCTTGAAACTTCACTGGAAGACTCTTGGTTTTTTATATACAGCTATGTAAAACAGTTTTTAAACTAAATTTTTGTTATAAACATTCTTTTTTACCTTTAACAAGGCAGCATGGAGCATGGAACCCCCACACACATATATATATAGAACAACAAAAGTAGAGCCACTGTATCGACCCTAATCCCTGGCTTTTTAGTGTCACCCTCAGTTCTTGAGTAATCCCTAAGACCTCGCCTTAGAACCTCACCAAACATGGTTTGAAAACCATAGAATTAGCAATAAAGGGGACTGGACTATACAGTGAAAAGACCCGAAGCTGAAGCCCTAACTCCACTACTAATTTGCCATAGAGCTTTGGACAATCCCTTAACAGCTTTGAGCCTTTGTTTTTCCACTGGTAACATTAGGCTAATTATCTATTGTGCTTCTCTGACAGGTAGTCCTGGAAATCCAATGATGCAGACTATGTACAAGCACTTTGTAACATGTAAAGTGATGTAAAATTTAAAGTTTATGTAGATGTTTATACAATCCAATTACAGTCGTTTGTTTATAGGATTGTGTTCACAGTGTGTTTTTTGAGAGAGAGAGAAAGCTTGCATGAGTGGGAGGGGGCAGAGAGAAAGATAGAGAATCCCAAGCAGACTTCGCACAGTCAGCACAGAGCCTGACATGGGGCTTGATCTCTCGAACCGGTGACATCATGATCTGAGCTGAAATCAAGAGTAGGACGCTTAACCAACTGAGCCACCCAGGTGCCCCACAATATACTATTTTAAGCATTCACCACTAACCAAATATTACCTGATGATATGGTCATTATTAGATTATGTTATATGGCAACATATTCCATAATGAAGGAATTTTGCAGATGTTGGTAAGGCCCCTAATCTGCTGACTTTGAGTATCAACAGAGAGACTGTGCTGGGCAGGCCTGACCTAATAAGATGGTTTCTTACAAGAAGTCTGAGACATTGTCCTGTGGGCCTTGAAGAAGGAAGCTACCGTGTTGTAAGAAGGCCACATTGGCTAAGATCTACGGGTGGCCTTCTAGGCTAAGGGCTACCTTCCAGCTGTTAGCCAGCATAAAAAACTGGGACCTGGGTTGTATAACCACAAGAAACTGAATTCTTCTAGAAAGAACAACTGTTTTTTGAACCATATTTCTGACCCACTGGTTTGCTAGCTAGCCCACTAAAAATTTTTAATTTTTAATTTCTCTCGTTATGTTCTATGAAAACCACTCAGGTAATAGGAACAATTGATAAATGTTTTGCCTTACTTTTGTGACATATAATTAAGAGAAATTTAAGACATTCTAAAGCATTTATTGCTCTGTCCACTTTCTGGTCCTATATAAAATGCTCATAGATCTCAGCTATCTGTAGTCCTTTTTTTTTCACTTTCAAAACACAAGCATACCTCAGAGGTATGAAAGTTCGGTTCCAGACCATCACAATAAAGTAGGTATCACGATAAAGTGAGTCAAATAAATTTTTTGGTTTGCCAATGCATATAAAAGTTATGTTCATTCTATCCTGTAGTTTATTAACTGTGCAATAGCATTATGTCTAAAAAATAATGTACTTACCTTAATTTAAAAATACTTTATTGCTAGAAAAGGCTAACTATCATCTTAGCTCACAGGGAGTTATAATCGTTTTGCTGGTGAAAGGTCTCACCTCCATGTCGATGGCTGCTGACTGATCAGGTGGTGGTTGCTGAAGGTTGGGGTGGCTGTGGCAATTTCTAAAAAGAAGACAACAATGAAGTTTCCCCATTGATTGACTTTTCCTTTCACAAACAATTTCCCTGTAGCATGTAATACTGCTTAATAGCATTTTACCTACAGTAGAATGTCTTCCAAAATTGGAGTCAATCCTCTCAAATCCTTCCACTGCTTTATCAGCTAAGTTGATGTAATATTCTAAATCCTTTGTCGTCATTTCAACAATCTTCACAGCACCTTCATTAGGAGTAGATTCCATTTCAAGAAACCACTTTCTCTGCTCATCCATAAGAAGCAACTCATTTGTTTAAGTTTTATCATGAGATTGAACCAATTCAGTCACAACTTAAGACTCCACTTCTACTCTTGCTCTTTCCATCACAACTGTACTTCCTCCACCAAAGTTTTAAACCTCTCCAAGTCACCCATGAGGGTTGGAATCAACTTCTTCCGAATGCCTGTTAATATTATTTTGACATCTTCTCATGAATCATAAATGTTTTTAAATGCATCTAGAATGGTAACCCTCTCCAGAAGGTTTTCGGTTTACTTTTCCCAGATCCATCAGAAGAATCTATAGCAGAAGAACCTTATGAAATGTATTTCTTAAATAATAAGACTTGAAAGTCAAAATTACTCCTTGATCCATGGGCTGCAGGCATGACTACAACGTTAAGCTCCTTATACATCACCATCAGAGCTCTTGCATGACCAAGGGAATTGTCAATGACCAATGAAATGTCAATATTTTGAAAGGAACCTTTTTTTTCTGAGCAGTATGTCCTAACAGTGGGCTTAAAATATTTAGTAAACATGTTGTAAACAGATGTGCAGTCATCCAGGCTTCATTGGTCCATTTATAGAGCATAAGCAGAGTAGATTTAGTATAATTCTTAAGGGTCCTAGGATTTTTGGAATAGTAAATGAATACTGGCTTCAACTTCAAGTCACCAGCTACATTAGCTTCCAACAAGTGTCAGCCTGTCGTTTAAAGCTGTGAAGCCAGGCATTGACTTCTTCTCTCTAGCTATGAAAGTCCCGCATGACATCTTACAAAAGAAGGCTGTTTCCTCTACACTGAAAATGTATTGTTTAGTGTAGCCACCTTCATTAATTATCTTGGCTAGATCTTCTGGAGAACTTGCTGCAGCTTCTACATCAGCACCTGCTGCCTCACTTTGCACTTGTATGTCATGGAGATGGGTTTGTTTTTTTTTTTTTACTTGAACCTCAGAAACCAGCATCAGTTAGCTTTAAACTTCTTCTGAAGCTTCCTCACCTCTCCCAAGCTTCATGGAGTTGAAGAGAGTTATTAGGACCTTGTTCTGGATTAGGCTTTGGCTTAAGGGAATGTTGTGACTGGTCTGATCTTCTTTCCAGACCACTCAAACTTTCTTCGTCTCAACAATAAGGCTGTTTCACTCTCTTATCATTCATGTATTCTCTAGAAGAGCACTTAAAAAAAATTTTTTTAATGTTTATTTTTGACAGAAAGAAACAGAGCATGAGTGGGGGAGGGGCAGAGAGAAAGGGAGACACAGAATCCAAAGCAGGCTCCAGGCTCCATTCTGTCAGCACAGAACCCGACGTGGGTCTCAAACTCACAAACCATGAGATCATGAGCTGAAGTTGGACACTTAACCAACAGAGCCACCCAGGCACCCCTAGGGTAGCACTTTTAATTTCCTTCAAGAAATTATACTTTGCATCACAAGTTGGCTGTTTGGTACAATAGGTCTAGCTTTTGATTTAAAGTAAGAGATGTGGGACACTTCCTTTCGCTTGAACACTTAGAAGCCATTGTAGGGTTATTAATTTGCCTAATTTCAATATTGTGTCTCAGGGAGTAGGGAGGCCTTAGAAGAGGGAGAGAGATGGGGGAACAGTAGGTCAGTAGAGCAGTCAGAACACACACATTTATGTTCCCTGTCTTATATGGGTACCGTACATGAGGCCCCCAAGCAAAACAGAAACGTCAAAGGTCACTGACCACAGATCACCATAACAAATACAATAATAATTAAAAGTTTGAAATATTGCAAGAATTACCAAAATGTGACAGGCACTAAGTGAGCAAATACTATTGGAAAAATGTGCCAATAGATTCGCTCGACCCAGGGTTGCCATAAATCTTCAATTTATAAAAGCTGCATTATCTGCAAAGTGAAATAAAATGATTTATGCCTATGAGTATGTATTTTAATTTTTTCCAGCTTTCTTGTGGTCTAGTTAACATAAAACCATACGTCAGGTGTTCAATGTGTGGTTTGATTTACATATACATTGTAAACTGATTACAACAATCAAGCTAATTAGCACAGCCATCACCTCGCATCACTACCTTTTTTGATTTGTTGGTGTGGTGAGCACATTTAAGATCCACTCTGTTAGCAAATTTCAGCATACAACACAGTATTATTAACTATACTCATCAACCTGTGCATTAGATCCAATAACTCAGTCATTTTATAATTGAAAGTTTGTATTCTTTGACCCACCTCCTCATACTCTTTTATAGTTTGTGCTATAAGAGTGGACATAAATAGGAATGGCTTTTTAATCATTCAAATCTGAATCTCAAAAATAGTCAATATGGAGACAATAGCAATGAATCTCCAAAATTAATGCTAAGATTTCATTCCTCTGATGAAATTAGGGGAAAAAATCATCTCATGAGATACTGTCATCTAAAACAATAATTAACAAATAATCAACTTGATTCCACAGATCTTCTGATTGTTTTCAATGGTCCAAACATTTATAATAGCAATGAACCATTAATAATGAACATTACTAAGTCCTTGTTTTCTAGGAGTTTGTTCTCAGGAGAAAATCCCTATTTGATGGAGATGAGACACTGAGATGATACAAGTAAATAAAACAGGATCAGATAGTGAGAAGTATAAAGGAAACATTAAAACTATGTGTGTGATAAAGAGATTACCTTGGATTAAAAGATTTAACAACACCGAAGCTCAAAAAACAAACAAACAAAATGAAACCTACCAATGTATGGTCTCAGAAATGGCAACCATTGCTATAACTTAGAAAAAAGAAAATAAAAAAATAAAAATTGAATCAAGTTTTATTTGGTGTTTAGCTCTGTTATCAGATGCCCTTGGGTTAGCAGTGACCTAAGAATAAGACTTTGTCATCAAATTTCTACTACTATCCCGGGGCAAGGATTATTATCTTTTAGATTATGTCAGGTATTTTCCTCTACTAGGCTATTTATTTATGCATCAGGGTAGTTTGTTGAAGATAGCTGTTAAGGTTATCTAACTCTCTGGTTGCTTGCATTAACCCCATACTTATCTGGCAGCCTTTTCATTTTGATTTCTTGCCTGGATTTGCCTTTTAGAAAACAATGCACAGTGACAAAGACTATGGCAACCTACGTATCAGTTTCTGTTTCAGAGTGTTTTTTTAATGTTTATTTTATTTTTGAGAAAGAGACAGAGCATGAGTGGGTGAGGGGCAGAGAGAGAGAGAGAGAGAGAGAGAATCTGAAGCAGGCTCCTGACTCTGAGCTGTCAGCACAGAGCCCAATGTGGTGCTTGAACTCATGAACCACGAGTCGAAGTCGGACGCTTAACTGACTGAGCCACCCAGGTGCCCCTCAGCGTCTCTGTATGATTAGTAAATTCACGTCCTGGTTTATACCTAAGTCTTTCAAAAGTGTAGGTAGCATGAATTAAATTTTCACAATTGATCATGTCAGGCTGATCTGCAATTCTAAAATTCAAACCTTAGACTTTGAGTGACCCTTTCTCCTACTACAGCCATTCTAATAGCCAGATGGTGTCT